ATATATGAATATATAAAAAATATATCAAAATGCGTGTGGGTACTCAAATGAAAGCTCTTGATAAGTGTAACATCGGGATGAGCTTATATCTTTAAAAATATCAATAGTTCACAAGATACAAGGTCGTTTCTTAGTTACTGACATTTATTAAGATATAAACTCATCCCGGTGTTACACTCATCAAGACCTTTCATTTGAGTACCCACATCAATTTTTCATATATTTTATATATTTATATATTTCACGAATACCATATATATAAAATATATGAAAAATGTCATATGGGTAATCAAATTGAAGCTCTCGATGAATATAACATTGGAATGAGCTTATATCTTTAAAAATGTCAATATTTCACGAGATAAGAAGTCATTTGTTAATTATGTATCTAGAGACAGAGAATTTTTGAATGCAGCCGTAATACTTATCATAATAAATTGACTATCTATAATAATGAAATGAAACCTTGAAAAGGCACAAATTCAAGTCAAGACCTTTGCAATAACACTAAATTTAATTAAAAAGACCGATTTCATCATATGATTATCCTAAAAAAAAAAATGTTTCTTATTCTCTCAATAATATAAATAATAATAATAAAATTTATTGAAGTTTATTATTATTATTTCTTATCCTTATCCAACTTAAAAAAAAAAAAGCGTTGAGGACATTGATGCCGAGATTGCAAGTATTGGTGACGATAACGACGATAAGCAGATTTTTTTACCGATCGATCTTTTAGTGTAGGGCCAGTTTAGATTTTATACTCGAGAGTTAAGCAGAGAGAAAGAGTATGGGTGCAAGAAGCCAAACTTTCCGGCTATTTTTTATTCTCCCCTCTATAGTTTTATTTCTGCTCCTGTACTGGCTCGTACTTCCTATGCAGCCGCGCACAACCGTTTTAAGTGGGTATAAATTGTTCCTCAATGTCGCATTCTGCAGTCTACTTTACATCCTCTATCCTCTCGGAGCTTTTTATGCTAACTTTGTTTCGAACTCAAAAATAAACAACTAAACACTTGACGAGTTTTTAGCCGTCACTATTTTTGCTTTAAACAGTCATATTTACATCTTTTTTTAATTGTAATCCCCCACGAAAATAATATATATACTCGTATATATATACGCGGTATATATCCGAGTATATTTATTTTTTTGCCCACTTATATATACCTGCGCATATCAATGGGGATATACTTGCGCTCACGTGTGTCCCATTATACGGAAAATTTTTTCCAGATCTACAGTCTGGTCTGTCGTAAGATCTACAGTCTATGCGCAGGCACATATATAAGTGGGCAAAAAATATATATACTCGGATATATACGTAGTATATATACGAGTATATATATTATTTTCGTGGGGGACCTCCAATTAATATAACAATCATACATATTGTTTTTCAAAGGTGTTTTTTTACCTAACAGCTAAATCTCTTTTAATTTTTATCAATCTTAAATTACAATTTTTAAAAATTATGAAATTTTTCTGTTTATCAAAATTGATAGAAAAATATTTTTACAAATTAATACTGCGCCATCTATTGAAAATAAATTCATATTTCATCTAATTTAATAGGTGGCGCTGTAGACTATGAGTTTGGCGCAATGAGCAGAACGTGTGTGCCCACACACGAATTCCAAAAGCTTTATTAACTCAGTTCACACCAATAAATATATTAAATTGACTGTCTACGTAGCCATTGGTCTAACTCCTTATTTTTTGGAGGGTGAATTTTTAACATTTTAATGTAGCAATAGTCTAATTTTAAATTATTTGAATGATCTAAATCTAAATATTATACCTCTATTAGATATTAAATTGTTTTTTAAAGTGATAGTAAATTTTGAACTAATTGTTTTTTCGTACAAATAAAAGTACAAGAATTTTTTCTAAAATGGCGTTAGACAATTTGCTAATTAGAATGTCGAAATATTATATTTTGCCCAATTTTGCGATAAAAAATTTGAATATTTTTAAATAAAAAATTATTTATTTTTAATAATAATAAGGTAAAAGACCCCATTAGTGGCACTTTTTCGTTCAATGAAAAAGTATTCTACTTGGAATAAAAATTAAAAATTTTTTTGATCAAAAGGTCTTAACGATTAGAAATAATATATTCATTATTGAAATTAATGATTTAATTAAATGAATAAGTACCAAAATCAAAGAAAGTTTCAGTAATGGGGTTCCCGTCACTAATGGGGTCTTTTACCCTAATGATTATCAATTTTATTATAAAAAAACACAATTAAAAAAACAGACCAAGAATTTTTTAAGTTATTTTTCGTTATATTCTTAATATCACCCAAAAAAGTCGTGATCCACTACAAATATATTTTTCAAATATCATTACCTCGTAAAGTTTCCAGAATATTTTAAAAAGATTACAAGTCAAGTTTATAAATAAAGGCTTTTTTTATCTTGAGGTACGACCTTTTATCGATGTAACTAAGTATGTAGCGTTACCCTAGAAAAAAAAAATATGACTTGATTACTTGATTAAATTTTTTTATTCTCATTTCCGACCTACCGATCTTTTTATT